TATAATATTCATTCTAAATATTTTTATTTCCAAAGTGTTTGCGTTCACAACAAATTGTATCTCGTTCAATTATCCACGTGTCAGATTTTCTTGAAAACGCATGAAATATTTAACACCGTTTTCTTATAAATATGTATATAAATTATTGATCAAATTAAATTATTGAAAACCTGAAACGATTTGCGAGATGTCACGTGGCAGTGGAAGGCATCCACACGGAAAAGTCTTTCCTCCTTTCGAACAGAGCAGATCAATGATCATCTCCATGAATAGAAAGAAAGAAGATCGTGTTTTGAATGCAACATTGTAAAAACAACATCGGGAGAAATCCACTTATCGGGACACTTTTATGGCGGTGCTACGTCTGCTGTTGCGGCGAAAGAAACGCCGTAGATTTCGAAGTAGCTATGCGAATTTCTCGCTCTCGCGCAAACCGCAACATGCGAGCTCGATTACTTCACGGAGATAAATAAGTATGTGTGTGTGTGTGTGTGTATGTCTGCTATAAATATATAAAAAAGAAAACTCTTTTACCTAGCCTCCTAAAAGTCTTCCGTACGTGCTCTTTTACTTCGAGTTCATCCTACATATAAACGTAATATTGAAATATTCACTGTTGTTCTACCTTAAATCGTTGCATACTCTCCATCTTTCTCAATGTATTCTTCGGTTTTATCAATATTTTTTACTTTACCCGAGTTTATCTTTGCTTTCTATGCGGTCTCGCAAGTGCACTTACATATTTATATCTGAACACTTCAATACATCTTTGATTTTTAATAACGCTGTTAAATTCATAATATCAAATTATATCCAATTTCAATTAATTTTAATCATTTATATAGATCGCCACTGTTCCTATTCATTTAATTTCACTAAAACAATAAGTTAAATAATTTAACTAAAAAAATAAAAAAAATAAAAGTAAATTTGACTGAAATTTAGTTTATTATTTATTAAATGCATACGCCAATATAGACGTTATTTACTTTGAAAATAGCTACAGAAATGGATTGATTACATTTTGACACGTATGGAAAGTTCTTCTTCTTTTTTTTAAGATTCCTATTTGGATTTCCAATCCACTACGAAGGGTCAGTCATGTGACGAAGAAGGATTCAGCGATAACCACCTCGGGAAACAGAAGCTTCGCTTGTTCACAATTCTTACAGCGTCGCATCAATTTCAAGTAAATACAAATAGGCCTTGAGCATTTCATATAATTCGCAACGACCTTAAGTCTTGTAACTTAATCACAAAGAAGGAGCATCTAAGTTCTTTAAGTAGGACAGGAACTGAGTTGCCAGTTGTTCCTTCAATACCTAACAGTGTAGCTTTTATATTTGCAAAAAGAAATGGCTGAGCGAAAATTAGTAATCAAATACATATTAAACGTTGAATATCATCAGATATTCCCATTTGCCGTATATATATATAGTATATACGGCAGTCGTTTACAACTTTACGATAACGATACACATGATTCGTGTCGCGAGGAAGGTGGAGCGGGGGGGGGGAGGGGGTTCCAGAGTGCCGATCTTGCAATTTTGTTTTAATGCGAGGCATCTCGACCCAGAAGGAATCCACGTCGGCATATAAGAAACACTCGAGTGTACCGCGCTAATAGGCCGAGATTAGAAAATCGGCACGAGAGGAATAAGAAAACGCCCGTCTCTCGGGCGAGAGGAAGAGAGAGAGAGGGAGAGGGGGGGGAAGGAAGGGATCTCTGCCGGTTTGAGAGGCGGCGAATGCGATTGCGATTGCATAGAGAGCGGAATCGCGAGAGAGGCGCACGAGAGTGCACCCTAGCCAGTGGGTCACGCATGGGAAACTGGAACGGTTTCATCTCCAGGCGGAAGACTCGATTTTTCTCCACGGGAGAAACTACCGATTTTTCTTTCGATCGAGCGTTTCTAGGTTACAAGTAAATAAGATCGCGCCGCTCGCACGCGTCGCGCTAAGGAACGGCCTCCCTATTTTCGCTCCGCGACATAATTTTCGCCGAGGCAAAGAAGCAGTGCCGCGGAGCCCCTCACGTGCATCGCGTTTCTTTCGTTCTCGAAATAATCGAGAGAAAAAGGAAGAGCCCTGTGTACTCCGAAATCTGTTATTTCTTCCCCCCGATCCGATAACAATTTCTTTGGAACGAGAGAAAGACGCGCGAATACGTAACTAAATTATCAGAAAATATAACAAATACAAGTAACCATAGATGAACAATCAAACGCATAGATGAACAATCGAATATTGTGACAATCGTCTCGTAGCTTTCGCACGTTTTATTTGATTGTTT